AAGAAAGCGCCAAATCCGTAAGGAATAAGAGGTAATCAAGTTTGATCAGAGGAAAGAGAAAGAAACCTCCATTCCTTGAATCAAGAGCCCGTCACAGTAATGTTGAAGTTCGAAAGCGTGTGCTATGAAACAATTGCAGGTTTAACGCTTTTCCGTGAACTCAATAGCAATAATAACATACTTGGGTAATTTAAGGTCAATATCAGACCAAATTCAGAGGGCAGTTACCTGTGATTCACCTGTAACGGTTTTCGAGGGCCCTTCTACTTCCGCTGCCTGGCCAAGATCCAGGCTTCCTTCCTGCCTCCATACCAGGGAAAGCAGGGTATGAACCCAACCTACCTAAGCACAGTCACATCCAACTAAGAGTCCTGAATGCGACCTGCATTCAAACACAGAACGGCACGGGATACTCCATTCATCCAGCAGAAGAACCACTTCGTATCACCAAGCATGTGTAAGTCTAGAAAGAGAAGCAAATATGCAGCATCTTACAACAGAGATCCAGCAGGATTCGACGAAGCTTTCAAGAGGAGAACCTCAGAATGCTTAGTCCCTTATGTCAAATGCACTGCTGATGACTCTTGTGAGTTTAGCGTTGTCCACGAATATAATAATAGCATTAATAATAATTGGGAAGTCCTAATGCACAGCTGGATGCATGGAATGTGCCTTCCCACGTTTGAGTATGGTTGTCAATACTCGAGCCAGAGAGCATTCTGTCTCTGCAAAACAACAACTTTGAGCTTCTTAAGATGAGGAGTCTCTGTCTGGGCCCGGTAGACAACCATTCCCAAAACGTCATCTGATAACTATGAGAGAGCGCCACACCGCAAGAGTGGTAGGCCTCTGGGCCCGAGACTAGACGAAATGCTGGGTCACCGTCAAAGATGAAAGTAATCCATCACCGAGGCGGTGTTGGTCGGAGCCGGAAAAGAGGACGGAGGAGGTAATCCATCACTAAGGAAACAGTGTGTGTGTGTGTGTGTGTGTGTGTGTATGTGTGTGTGTGTGTGTGTGTGTGTGTGTGTGTGTGTGTGTGTGTGTGTGTGTGTGTGTGTGTGTGTGTGTGTGCGTGTGTGTGCGTGTGGGTATGTCTGTCTGTGGCAAAAGAAGAAATCTGTGAAGAATTGTTCCTAGTTGTTAAACTTACTCGAACTTTTATCTTGATTAATCAGGCTGGGGATAGAGTAAGATAATTAAAAAGAGAGAAATTTAAATCTTACCCCCTTAAAAATAGTGAACCATTACATATTTATTTTGTATACGATGGCGCTTTAACCGTCAGAAGAAATGCCATAGTATGGTTGGTTCTTTCTCTATATTTTATTGAGGCTGCGTATAGAATATTCTGAGTTGATGAGTTAGACACATGTACGTTTCGCCACACAGTGGCTTCATCAGTCATGAACACAGAAGAATGGTGAAGTTCAGAAGGAGTTTGAGGTAATCAGTCCCTCAGCCTCGAGTCGATGTCATCAGTCCACCAATCTTGATGGACTGATTTCATCGTCAATGAAGATACCCAAGTGTTGCAAATGTATTTAATTCATCAATTTGTCGGTTCTCTGAACCATTTATCAACATTCCTGTCAGACACAGCAGAATCTCGGGAACTTGATACAGAGAATTCTTCACTTCATCTTCCCAATATTCTGAGTGCACAATACTTTCCATATCAGGCCTAATGACGAAGCCTTGAGATGTATGGGATATATTTCCCGTTGTACGTTTCATAATATTTACACTCAGTAATTTTTGGATGGTTCCCAGCAGAGAAAATGATGATTTATACACCCCAAAAAAACTGTAATTTTAATTTAAGCAAATCCGAAATTTTTATTATTTATACAGTAAACTCAACAGTTCTGATGATTTCTATAATATAAAATAAGTTATCATTATTTCTAAAAAAAAATTATCGGCAATTTTGGTAATTCTAAAACTAAGTCAGTTATTTGGTCCCAAGCATCAAATTCAAAATATAATGTAATTTGAAGTATATAGTATATAAGTTTTGTAAATAAATAACTTGTTCCACCATAGTCATATTAACATTAAAATTTACTGTTTTATCAGTGGTTCACTTCGATAATTTTATCAAGAGACGAATTGTTGAACCAAATTGTTGAATGTTGCAACCCCTGAATGGGTTACAATGATTATTATGTATATATGTAATGTATATTATCTTTTCATATAATTTTATATTGCTTATATTTGCGATAATAGCTAAATCGTAAATGTATGACTTTATATTATTATTTGACTGTTATATTGTTATTTAGCTTATGTTGTTAGGATGTATATAAAATGTGCTCAGTTAGGCTTGATTGTCAAACTACTGTAATTATCGCTTGTCGCTCGTTATACTGCCGGCTTCTGAGCTGCAGTTGTCCACGTAGCTATCACGTGATCGAGGGGGGGTAACCTCACCTCTTGTGAAGTAGTCAGTCTGCTAGAGACTCGCTTGCTGGTTGGACATTGTCTGTCTGAGTCTGCTGGAGACTCGCTTGCTGGTTGGACAGATTGTCTGTCTCATTATTCTTGTTAGTTCTGTAGAACTTTGTTCACAGAACATTGTAAAGACTTAGTGATTTTCGTCGTTGTACTGAGGTTGTGTCACATAGACACTCTGAGTATCTCAGGTCCTTAGCTATAGCTTCTGACCTAATTTTGTACTGGTTCCTGTGTATTGTCACAGTCACAGTTTTACCTATGCTGAACGAAGATTCAGTATTATGGGAGTTTTGTAACTTTTGTGGAGGATCTGCAGATGGTCCCTACTTAGTGTCGTTATATTATTTCCCAGTTCCTGATTCTGTGTCGCAGTCGCTTGATATTGTATTGCTATTGGGCTTAGCATTCTTTGTTGTTCAAGCAGACTGTTCGGTTTGCCAGTCGGTCAAGAAGTTAGTTTATTTGAGGACTTTGTCAGTCACTTGTTTAAGTCTTATTCGAGTCTTGAGACATAGCTAACTACTTAAGAGCACTTACACGCATACACACACTTACTTGTACATATTTGTAATATCTTATTAAATGTTATTGTACCTGACGGTACTTAAGAATTATAAATGTGATATGTGCTTTCAGCACAATAATATTGAACTCGAGAGATTGATTTTATTTTGATTGCTGTAATTAATTTAATTTGATAATATACCTCTAGACAACTTATAGACTTAATAAATTTATTAAATTTTAATTTCTCTAGTTAGTAGCCTACCAGTTGTAATCCTAAAGCACTATTGAACCATACTGAACTTTAATGGATAATTGGAAAAGGATACTGACTACTTGTTACGAAAACCCAGTAACAGGCTGGATGCTAGAAGAGCAGTCCTTTCTAGTATTCACTGGAGATCTCTAAGCTTTTAGAATCGCGTTTATTGTAACATTGAACCAAATTGTTAAACCAAATTGTTGAACCAAATTGTTGAACCAAATTGTTAAACCAAATTGTTGAACCAAATTGTTGAACCAAATTGTTAAACCAAATTGTTGAACCAAATTGTTGAACCAAATTGTTAAACCAAATTGTTGAACCAAATTGTTGAACCAAATTGTTAAACCAAATTGTTGAACCAAATTGTTGAACCAGATCTGTAAGATAAATGATATTAAATACCTACACGATGGAATAATAAATATAAATGCAGTATAATGCGAGCCTTTATTGAGAACATTTCGCCCACACAGTGGACTTTATCAAGTCACTAGAATATTTCACTTTGTGGCTTCGTAAGGCGAAACGTAGCAATAAAAGATCGCATTATACTGCATTTTACACACACACACACACACACACACACACACACACACACACACACACACACACACACACACACACACACACACACACACATACACACACACACACATACACACACACACGAAATTCATTTTGCAATAGATGGCTGCTGGAATTCAATCCTTACGATTGTAAAACAATGAGACTAAGGGTGGAAATGAGAAGACCAGACGTGGAATACAACCTGGGAGGTGTGACGCTAGAGACAACATGGAAAGAAAAAGATCAGGAAGTAAGCATCGCTACGAGCATATCACTAGAAGTTCACACCAGCCATATAACTTCAGCTGCCTATGCAGCCAACCTGAGAACTGCTCTCAGAGTTTTAATTTTATTTATTTAGGACATTATACACTACTTAGGTCCATCTTAGAGTATGTGGCACCAGCATGGAGCCCGCATTTATCATGTACATAAAGAAAAATACAGAAGATTCTAAAGTTAGCAAGGAAATTAATGCTGGAACTGGTGGAAAAAGAACTACGAGGAGAGACTTAGAGAAGTTAACAACACTAGAAGAGAGGAAGACCAGAGTGATACACGACACACTCACGGAATAGACAGAGTAAATATGGATAGTTAGTTTGAAGGTAAAGGAAACAAGTGCATAGACTGAAAACGACGTCTTAGTCTCAGTTTCGGTCTTGGGACCTTGATCACTTCTAAGTGATCAAGGTCCCAAGACCGGAATAGACAGAGTAAATATGGATAGTTAGTTTGAAGGTAAAGGAAACAAGTGCATAGACTGAAAACGATGTCTTAGTCTCAGTTTCGGTCTTGGGACCTTGGTCACTTCTAAGTGATCAAGGTCCCAAGACCGAAACTTTTTGCAATGAACGTGTCCTTAAGTTCCGTATTTGTCTCCTTTTCCCTGTAAGTTGTCGCATTTTCTGCCTTATTTTTTACCATTTCATTTGGGATGCATGGAGTGGCAGACAGGGGACACATACAACAGCTAAAGACGCTGATGATACAGCTAAGAAGGTGGAATAAACCCAACTAACAAATAGTTCAAACAAAAGCCATTCACATTTTCAGGAATAGGTATGACTAATAAGAGCTAAGCGGCTGGGCCAGGAGCTATAACTCAACCCATATGAACACAACTAGTCAAACATTACGCAATCTCCATGACGCGATACAAACACGACTGTTTGGAAAGATAAAGACTTGAGGTGGTACTCAC